AGAAAAATGACTAGTTTGCCCCCACCCCCACCCCCCGGGTCTATCAGTTGCCCGCCACTAAAAATTCTTTGTTCGGATTGGAGCAAGGAATATGTCGTACACCTCATGCTCAACAGAACTTAATACTAGAGCGCACGTGGACACAATAATTATCTAAAAAATATAATTTTTTTTTCTCTAAAACAATAGAAGATAACTAATCAAATATATTTTATTTTTTTAATTTTCAAAAATGTAAAAATCATAACCACAAAATAGAAAATAGAAAATAAAACAATCACAAAAAAAGATAAAGTAAAAAACACAAATAAAAAATAGAAAGTTATCCCAACAAATCCTTAGATATGAGAATTGTGTTCTATGAATATAATGGTCCCTTTTTTATTTAAGAATAAATTATCTTAATGTTTAGATACAAGTATGAAACTATATTTAAAAAGAAATGCTTAAATAAACTGTTGGAAAATGAAAAGCTATCATTTTGATAGATGTATTTTGACACAAACATGTATTTACATTATCATAATTCATTTTCCAAAAATTCCCTTCAAAGTTAAAATTTTTTTTACATGTTTTAATAACAGGAAAGTAAAGTAATCCATTTATAAAAATAAATTAAATTTATAAAAATACGTATATATATCTGAAAAGTTCATAAATTTTTTATTTAATTATAATCCTGCGCTTCAAAGGTTTCGGACCATCTGGAAGCAGCCACGACTAACCCAAAGAGTTGTCCCCGTTCTCCGGGGCGTCCAGCATTTAACGGATATCCTCAGCAAATTTACAAATTACAAGTTAATTGAAATAAACAACACACCTAAGCTAAACATAGCCATCCCGAGTCCGGCGTCGGACAGTATCGATATGGACTTCTCAATAATCTTGGGCATATGAACGTCCCACCTGTACAAATGATTAACAATAATAATTGGTTAACCATGTGCTAATTTGTGATTAGAAGGCAGTAATTTCAAAGCAAGGCAGTGGACCGGAAAGCTATCAGGGACCAGATTAGCCCGATGAGGATGGAGTATGTGTTGGGATTGCGAATGAGCTTGCGCCACACCATTATGAGAATTAGACGGCTCATCACGCTCGCCGGCGGCATCTGTGCCTCCTTCCCACCACCGACGCAGGCCGTGACCTTCGGGTGAAGCTCCGATGTCGGGCTCGATCCAAGCTTGGACAGCACATCCGGGCCCCTGACCACCTTCCCGTCTTTTCCTTCCTCCAGACTCCTCCCGCCGCCGAAACAAAAGTCTCCGTCCCCGGGAATCACAGCACCTTAACCATTTCGAATGGGGGAATCGGTAAACAGCAACAATTAATTATTGGGAAGAAAAGGTTTGTTTTAACTTCACTGTTCAAATTGAAATGTCTGCTTTGGAAAAAAGCGAAGAATAATTAGCACCTTTGTTCCCGTCAGTGGGTGGAAGATCAGCTGGAACGATCATGCGAATCTCTTTGGCCCCGAGGTCCGATCGGCCGTCCGCGCCAGTGAAATCCGCTCCGCAAAGCACAGGGAGTCCGCCGACCTCTGACAACGGAGACGCGCTCGAGCTCCAAACGAACATGTGAAGCTCCTTTGCGTCGTGGTTCGTCGCGTGCTGGGTGGGCACAGCCGTCGCAGCAGGCAATTTCTTCGGGATTGCAGAACATCCAGCAGTAATATCAGGGTTTGGTGCCAGGAAATGCCCAAATCTCCTTGATCCACCCTGTTGGTGGTGGTGCTCGTCGAATTTGGACGGCCGAGGCGTCGGTTCTTTGGATGATTGCACTGAGCAGAGATCGCCTGGACCGAAATTTGATTGCTGGAGCGGTGGCGGCGTTTCGCCGCCGCACGTGGCGAAGAAGTCAGAGTGGTTGAAGTTGGATCCTCTTGGTGTTGGATTCCTCGACAAGCTAAGTGAATAAATGTCGGCACCCGTGAGATTAGACGGCCGGGGAGTCATCAGCGAGATAGATTGCCTTGACGATGTGGACTTCCTGACTGTTACATGAATCTTGCCATCGCCTCCCACCTCTGTTTCGCAATGGAGCAAGTCCCATCCATCGTCGAGAGAGGTGACGTCCGACTCAACCCGGAACGAGCCGATGGACACCGCTGTGTCAGGGAACTGCTGCGCAATAAGTATCCGCGCTGCGCGGTACTCGAACAGGAAAAGCATGATGGTGTTCCACATGATGAACTGGAGAACGACGATCTGTACCATGAGGGATCCAGAGTAGGGCCCGTACATGGCGATAAGCAGGGGGATTCCGACAACCAGAGTGTTGGGAAGCGTGGAGAGGGAGAATAGTGTGATGGACCAATCGAGAGAGCCAAAGGTGGTGAAACGAGCCCAAACGGCGAGTGCGGCGAGGACGATCAGTTTTTGGAGAGTGTCAGCGGCGAGAAATCTGAAGTTCATAGCGTAAGGGTTGTTAGTAGAGATAAAGTGGAATGAGAGGAGTGGTACTGCAAAGATGGCCACAAAGCGGTTGATACCGGAGCACTGCTCCGGCGAGAAGATCCGCCACCATCGGACCGAGCCGTAGGCCAGGATCATTGCGACGTAGAGCGGGACAACTGCCGTGAGGACAGAGTAGAGGTTTCTCGTGGTGATCATTTCACCCCAGTTCTCGGCGACAGCAGCAGCATGCCGCTGAATTTAAAGGAGATAAAGAGAGGTGAGCGGTTGTCAGTCGGTGGAAATTTTCGGTTCCAAATGGGGAATTCGAGGGTCAGAAAATAGTAAATTAGTATATTTATATATAGCCAAAAGAGTAACTAATTTATATCAAACAAGTGAATTACAACTGATATGGCGGAGGTTAAGTGAATTTCCATGGAGCAAAACTTCAAAAACAGGAGGAAAAGTGCTAAAAACATGAGTATTGGCTGCCTCTTTGGCCAAAAAATAGATGAAAAGTGAGGATGAACATCTAAAGTTCAAAGAATGTATAGTTTTTTTTGGTTATTTAGTATCAGATCTTGCACCTTCTTGTAGCCTTTTGTGATACCCGCAACTGATGTATGTTCAAATCCTTTTGGTTCCATTCATGGCGGATTTTCTCTATCATGGCTTACTCATGGCCTCAAAACATCCATTTTGATAAAATGGTATCTTAGAGATTTATTAAGTCACTGAACATATCTTAGCATGTTTCATGACAACTTCAGAAGAAGCAATTTCCTAACATTTATTCTAGTAGTTTTTAAGGTTGAGGTGCACTTTTTTAGCTTGCCTTAAAGATTTTACTTTGGACCACCGTTTCGTTTGAATTTTCGACCCATTGTTCACTGTTATAGTCTTCATAGAGATTGTTCAGCTTGTGATCTTGCTGCATATTATAGCGAGATTGGTTTTGCACCATTAACTGTGTTCATCTTCTTTGCTTGTAAGTTCTAGACAATTTGTTCATCACAAGATGCAATGGAGAAGTTTATGCTAGTTCTGCAAAATCTCAATCCTACAAGATACTCTTATACTGATATTATCACCATTATCAGACATTTAAGCAGTTGTTGGAACGAGAAGGATTTGGCCCCGTATAGGAAGGGGAGCTCCCCGACGTGCATTTTGTTACAGTGAAGCTGCTTGAAGGGAGCTCCAAGTGCAATGCTGATGATTTCATAAGCGAAGTCTCCACAATATGAAGAATTCACCACCCGAATGTTCTTTGCCTCAACAGATTCTGCTCCGAAGGCTCCAAAAAAGATCTCATTTATTAGCTCATGCCCAACAAATCACTGGACAAGTACATCTTCAGCTCAAACATACATTTTTCATGGCAGAAACTCAACAGCATAGCTCTTAACATCGCGAGAGGAATCTCTTACCTTCACCCCGGTTGCGATAAGATAATCCTCCATTTCGACATCAAGCCTCAAAACATTTGGTTTGATCAAAGCTTCATCCTCAATGTCTCAGACTTCAAGCTCGCCAGACTATACTCAAAGGATTGCAACGTAGTTTTTGTTAGCTTTGCAAGAGGAACAATCAGATACAATACTCTAAAGCTAGTCTCCCGCAACTTTGGAGTCATATCTCATAAATCTGATGTGTACAACTTCAGAATAATGTTGATGGAGATGGCAGCCGGCTGGTGAAACGTCAAGGGGAGTGATGGGAGTTCGAGTCAGTGTTATTTTATATATCTGTGATATATGATAAGTTGAAGATGAATGCGATGAAGGAGAAAAAATTTGAGAGCGTTGAGATGAGTGAGGTGGAGAAGAAGTTGTATTGGGTGATGCCTTGGTGCATTCAGATAAGGCGGGCAGATCGGTCGGTGATGAATCAAGTGATGCAGATGAATGAAAAAGATGTTGATGGGTTGGTGATCCCGAAGCCTTTCTTCTCTTGGGTCGACTTCAATCTCGAGAACTCTGCGTTGTGACGATAGTGGTGATGTGAAGCATGAACTTATTAATGAAGATAATAGAGGTTGAGATAAGTTATTGGTAATCAATTTTTTACAATCAAGCTCTCTTTAGAATTAAGGTAAATATATAAATTTTAGAATGATATAGAAGGCTTAAAAATATTTTATAGGATGAGTTTAGGGGGGAATGAGATCATATCAGTTTGAAATTTCATTTTTATCTTGTCTAACACTTTATCATGGCACATATATATATA